TTATCTTAACCTGATTAAGGCTATCTATGAAAAACCAACAGCCAACATCATACTAAATGGTCAAAAACTGAAAACTTTCACACTAAAATCAGGAACAAGACAAGGATCCCCACTATCACCACTCCTGTTCAGTATAGTTCTGGGAACATTAGCCACAGCAATTAGAAAAGAGAAAGAAATAAATGGAATAAATATAGGAAAAGAAGTTAAATTTCATTATTTGCTGACGATATGATACTTTACATAGAAGACCCAAAAAACTCTGCCAAAAGATTTCTAGACTTAATTGACAGATTCAGTAGAGTGGCTGGATACAAGGTCAACACTCAAAAAACAATAGCCTTCTTGTAAACAGTAGAGGGTGATTGATAAAAAAGTAGTATTCGCAATTAAGTTCATAAGCACTTAGTGGAAGGAAGGTCTTCTGCATTCAGGTAGACTTAGAAACTTCACAAAAACAATAGTCTTTCCAGCACATGCTGCACCATTTGCATAAGACAGGTTGGAAAAAAATTTAAAATCTACCGATAAGTTGTTAGTAAGACAAGGCAGAAAACATGCAAGATAAAGATACAAAAGTTGAGAATATTTCTACAGATCAGCAAGAGACAGAAAAAAGTATTTTTAAAACAGTAACTAACAACAAAATATAAGTTATGAATAAGTCTTACAAAAGTGACTGAAAACCTTTACAAACAAAACTTTAAAACTCTGATGAAAAACTCAGATTAAAAATGATCTAAATAGTCGAGTGTGGTGGTGCATGCCTGTAATTCCAGCACTGGGGAGGCTAAGGCAGGATTGCCACAAGTTCCAGAAGGACTGCCAGCCTGGACTACACAGTGAGTTCAAGGATAACCTGAACTACATAGCAAGACCCTGTCTCAACAAAAAAATAAAAAATACATAAAATGTCATCTACATTATCAACCTTGGACACCATAAAATAATTTAAAAATTAAAAATGACCTAAATAAATAAATGTATAAGCCTAACACATTCAGAGATGGAAAACACTATACCGAAAAACACTGATTCAAGCCAAATAGATGTAGTGATTTCAAATATTTTCCATCAAAGTCTTAATAGGACTTTAAGCCCACTGTAAATTTCATACAGAGGAATAACGAATCAGGAGTAAATAAAACAACAAAAAAAAAACAAGGTGGAAGGATTGACAGCACTGACTAGAGAGTGACAGACAAGGAAAAAGAATGGGAGAAATGTAGAGTTCAGAAACAGACCCAACCCATGTGCATGTCAAATTTGATTTACGACCAAAGTGATGAAGCAGATTAGTGGATAAAGACAGACCAATATGATAGTGGAACAACTGGTTATTTGTATGGTAAAAGAAAGAAACAAATTCCTCTCAAGACACACATACTGGGTTAAATATTTCAATATGAAAGGCAAAACATTAAACTTCAAGAGGAAGCATCACAGAAAGTTTTGTTATTTCAATAGAATCCTAATTGTAATTTTCTTAAGTTATAAAAAGTAAAACCTATAAAGGAAGAGACTGATGAATTCAACTACATTAATATTTATGTCCATCAAAGAATACCAAATAGAACGTGAAGATAAGTCTCACACTGGAAAACAAATCTGTTAATTTTAAAACTGACAAGGAATTAATATTTAGAATATACCAAAGACATTTAAAAATCAGTATTTTTTAAAGTAGCACAGTAGAAAAATAAGGAAATGATTCAATGAGACATCGTCACAGTAGAAAATAAGATTGAGCAGTAAACACTAAAGAGTGATAAGATGTAAATTAACTACTAGGACACACTGGTATCATACTCATCAGACTGGCAAAAATTAAAAGCCTAACAATACTACATTTTGGTGAGGAAGTGGAACAGCTGGAGCTGTGGACATCCCCATGGGGAGTATAAATCAGAACAACTCCAGAGTGCAACCCAGAGTTACCCTGTTAGCCTGAAGACCATCCAGGCAACTCCACTCTAGGTATATTCCCTAGAATTTCTTGCTGTGTGCAAAACCATTCAAGGTAGCACTTCTGCAACAAAAATGAAAGCAGCCCAAATATGCAATGACAGGAAAATGAACACTCAGAATGGTTACATAACAGAATACTATGCAGCAATGAACAACACATGAACTACAGGGGGAGGTATTAACATAGATTAATCTCACAATGTTAAGTAAAACAAAAAGCCAAGACGTAGAATAAAAATAATAAAATTCCATTTAATCAGTGCTTCATGAGAAGGGCAGGGCAGGGGAAGGGAGGGGAAAAAAAAGGAAAAAAAGAAAGAAAACAGACATTTGACTCCTACTGATAGACAACAAGCCGTCAATTATGTCCAGGCCAAGATAAAGATAATCATAACTGGTGTTCTATATGTGTCATTACAGCACTTGCAGCCTCCCATCAAGTATAACCTACACATCTCAAGTCCTACACACAGCCTAGCAAGGACTGCTTAGCTGCCACACAGCATAGCGCTAAGGATCTTGAAAATTGATGGGGTGAGCTTCAGTGGCAAGGACTTTCCTCCACAGCACATGGCCCTTCTCACAGCTATCCTGCAGCTTTCATGTGTCACCTGTGCAGGGAGGAGCAGGTCCTTTTTGCTCCTGATGTTTCAGGTAACCCAAGGACAAGTTGCTTCCTGCAGCTATCTGGACCACCAGCATCTTCATCATCCTGTGACCTTCATTTTCTGATTACAATGTGTATATCTTGTTTATATCCAAAACTGTTCTGAGACAGCTCTAGCTTTAGAGCTCTCTGCTGCCCTCTGGCTCAGTGAGTTTTAGATGCCAGCTGTCCACCTGGTCACAGGCTCTCCTGACAAGAGTTCTAGGACTTGCCTGTCACCTGTTGGCTTCCCACACCTTTGGCCTGAGCCACCCAGGTTTTGGATCTTTGTCTATCTTGAGGGTCTGCCACTGCCACGGCTCCAGCACAACATCACTCTTATCAGTTCTTTCCTCTGGCCACAAAGTGATCCTTGCCTTGCAAAGAAAGACTTATGAAGAAATAAGGCCAGAAAAGTTGGTTCTCATCCTGGTATGGCTTCCTGCATGTTACTAAGTGAGACACATACCCAAATGTTACCAAAGCAACAGAAAAAGAGATACAGGGATTTACTCAAATGTGCCTATTACTCACCAATAAGCTCATCACCAATTGCAACCAATGTAAAAAGATATCAGACCCTTGAAGCAATACACTAGTGTTTTACTTTCAATTCTTACCCGTTGCAAAAATTCAACAGGACTGTACTTGGGTCCCAAGACAAAAATTTTCCTTCCTCTTCGAGCCACACCACTGAACACACGAGCAAATGCAATGAAGGACTCTTGGCTGTCTTCCTCCTGGGGTGCAGGGTTAGGGGCCCCACTCTCCACCTGCTGTTTATCACCTGCCAGAAACAAAAGGTCAGTAAAGGCCAAGGCTAGTCTCCAACTCAGGAACTGCCTGGAAACACAAGGAGAACAGGGAATATTTCATGTTTGATCCAATTTCAGGAGACAAACACCAAGAATGAAAAGAATATTGATAAAAACTATGATTAAAGCTAAAAGCTTAAGAGTAAAAGGATGAGTATCCCAACTTAAGCAAAAAACATCCAGTACTGGGCAGTCAAGCCCACTTAGGAAGGTGATACCTCTTGGCTCTTCTTGTGGACTTGTTTCAAGGATGCCCCCATTGAGGTTGGGCTCCACACGGCCCTGCCCCTGAGCCACTGCCAGCTTCTCCGCATGCCTCTGTCGTGCACGCTCTCGTCTCTGAGCAATCTCATCTTGAGTGAGAGGCCTAGAGGGTATCACAAATATGTTACTGTCTGACAATGTTGAACATCTCTTGGTTCATACAAGGAGGAAAACAGTAAGTGCTGATATGGCTGAATAAGTAAGGATTAGTCCCAACTCCCTCTGGGGCAGAGGCTTCTCCGAATCCTCTCCAGCTGCAGCAACTGAGGAGGCCCATCAGGCTCCCTCTGACAGTGCTGTGCCCCAGCTATCTAGAGCTTATGAACCAGCTGCAAGAGCCCGTGTAGCTGAGTGGAGCCAAGCACAATACAGAACCTTTCTCAGAGACCCACATTCCCTCTGGGAGAGGCAAAGACAAGAAGCAGGAAGGGAATGAGTAACAGATACAAGGGCTCAGAGCACAACAGACAGAAACATGCAGAAAGCCTCAAGAAGAAATCAAGGTTGTCTTTGCAAGTACAAAATCATGTCTGCATGGAGAACTGGAGTTCATGAGGAAGGGTTCCAGGTGAGGCAATTCACTGGGACTAAAAGGTCCAATTAAAATTATCAACCATTATGTTAGGTCCAAGAGGTACCAGAACAGAAAAGGTAACATGTAGCTGTGTATGTGTTTGCTGAGAGTCTAGGAAAGACAGCTGTTGATAATTAGCTATTTTTCCTAAAGAGTTACCCCCTTGCCTGTCAGGAAGCAGGAAAAATACAACACTGTGCCCTTCCTCCCCTTCCTGGTCCCTAGGCTAAACACTGCTTTGCTCCTTCCAACAATCCCTGGTAACTTTCTTTATTTGTAAACTTCTCCTAGAAACTCATAACAGGTCTGAAAAGTATGAATTAAAATATACATTACTATTACTAGAGTAGGGAGGGGGATTACGTGAGGCACAAAGAGAAACAGGCTCTTGCAATGGGCTCACTGCTGATCTATAATGCAGCAAATATTTATCAAAAGTTAAATGAAGTACATGGTATATCCCTGTTTTACAAATTAAGTGATTTGGCCCAAAGTCACAACAGATATTAATGCAGATTTGTCTATGCTCATTATCGCCAAGTTACACCCTCCATTTAGAAGGAAGCAGAATCAGTATCCTAAGTAAATGTAATTTCACTTTAGCTTTTGTTACAAAAGAAGTACATTTGGGCCAGGGATTTAGCTCAGTGGTTCCGGCATCTGCCTTGCAAGCGCAAGGTCCCAAATTCAATCCCCGGTACCAAAAAAACACACAAAAAAAGTTGAGGCACAAAAGAAGTACATTTTTCATCTCATACACGAAATCCTTACCTGCCTCAGTTCATGACATGCTCTGGAGTAATCAGCATTTATAGTTATCATTTGGCATCAAATGCATAGGTGCTTGGTGTCTTTCTGTGTTTGCCCACCCAACACCTACTATGTTCTAGGGACTGCTGTGAGAAGAAATGGTGGCAGAGAAGAACAAAGCAAACAGAATAGAGATCTGCAAGGATTTAAATAAAGCACCCTTTGTACACCCAGTATTTGCTGAGAACAAAGGAATTTATTTGCTAGAAAATGGGGCTCTACTGCTAAGAAACTAGCTATAAGTTATCATTTATACTACAATTATTTAGAGTACAGCTTAACCTCTGTGAAGGGTACTTCTTGAAGAGATAATCACTAAAACTAGAGATGAAGGCGACCAAAGGTGAGAATGTTGATCAGATATGCAAATGTTAGGCTGGGAAGTGAAAGAAAGGCAAGAACAAAACCATTCACTTTCAAGACTCTACACACAATGGTCATGCTCTGTCACTATGACACTAGCCAAGGGGCAGAAAAAGTCCGAGAAAGGGCTGGAAGATGGGCTGGGTGCAGTCAAGGTTAACTACACTAGCAGGCAGTTGGGATGATGGGAAGCAGGTGACCAATAAGAAAAGTGGCATCTGTTTGAAGATGGTGATTGTTACTAGACACTTGTTCCCAAGACGAAAGGAAAAGCAACATAGTTTCAGGGATTGTGAGGACAGGGAATACCTGGAAAACATCTAACAAAATGTTACTTGTCACCAGGTAAGAATTCAACAATTCAGTTCAACAAGAGTTTGTGAAGTGAAACTGCAGTTCAGAACAGCAAAAGCAAAGCCCTAGATTCTATCTAAAAAGGTCAGACAGGCTAGATGGCTGCCTGCTTAGACTTAAGGGTGGACACTGAAGGGCCATGCAGGATGACTGAGGGCAGATTCCACATAGTAAACTCAAACACTTTAGGCTTTAAAACTTGACAGGCCTGCCTGGATTGAAAAATACAGTGAACATTAATTTTCTTAATACAAGAAAAGACACACTGTCGTTAACTCCCCTCAAAATATTCCCAGTTATGGCTTGTGTCTAGATGTTCCCCCAAAGCCCCACCTATGAGGTCAGCTAGGGCTTTCCAGAGATGGCTGGATCTAGGGTGTGTGATGCTGAGATTAAGGGTCTGTGATTATTAAAGTAGTCCACTGATTGGTATGGCACAGTTCCGGGTAGGATTAAAGGCACCCCACCTTGGGTGTGCATGCCACCTGCCCTGAATGCGGTAGCCTGGATACAATATAAAGGAGGGATAGAAAAGAATCTGTCTTTGCTTGTTGCTTGCTGCCTTCTACCTGCCTGCTGTGATGCCCCTCTGCCATGAAGCCAGTCAACTATGAACCTCTACCAACTGTGAGTCAAATGAAGCTTTCCTCGTTTAATTTTGGGTGTCAGGTATTTTGTCTCAGCAAGGAGAAAAGTAACTACAACATCCCCCTCACTTTAAACACACTTATCACATCATTCTTGGCACTCTGTAGCTCAATGTACAGGCCTGGGTTCAATCTCCAGTACCAAAAAAAAAAAGTTAACATTTATATTCTTTCATGTCATACAAACAATTCCTACACAGAATGTCCAGAGATGAGAACAATATGGAAGAGACACTTCCAAGAAACCATATCAAGCCAATTTTTCACACCAGAGATCCAATCCTGCTTAGTAAGTTATGTGAACAGTTAGCAGAGTGCTGCTCAAAAGGGGCAGGGTGTTTCCAGCAATAGCTGGGGAAGTGGTTTCTGACCAGTGTCTCACACTGATAACAACTAGGAAAGTTGAATGAATTTAGGGGGGAAAAAAGACTGATTAACAAAGCACTGGAAATTGTAGAGGTCAGATTTCAGAGGAAGAAAGCACTCCTTATTTGCTGCTGTTTTTCTGCTGAGAATATGACATTCCTGAAAAATGAAGCATCTGCAGAGAAATACAGTATTAAATGCTTTCTCTGAAAAACTGCAAAGGAGAACTTCCAGGAAGATGGTGGAGTGGTGAACAGCAAAGAACCTCTCTGGGATTTGGTGTCCAGACATTGGAATATAGCTGCGTGAGAAGGAGAAGAATAAGGGAGATGGGTCCCTGGGGCCCAGGAAGGATCTGAAGCGAGAACTGAAGTCCACAGGGAGAGCCAAGAAAGAGGCTTTATGAGAAAGAGGGAGGTGATAGCTGATGCTTTGTCCCAGAGTCCGGACTCATGGCATGGGAAGGGCAGTTTGAACCCACAGATGCACAGTGACTACTGGCAACCCCAGAGGCCTCCATGGAGAAAGGCACCAGTGGAACAGAGCAGTGGACGCAGTAGACTACAGAGGCTGGTGAGGTATTTGGGTTCAGACATCACCCAGAAGAAGGCAATTGGCCGGTAGCCATTTTGGAGAGGGGCTAACTGAGCTCAGACCATAGAACAGTTATAGGCTGACTATCTAGTGGCTCCCAGTGTTTTGGTGAGAGTGCTTAGCTGAAGTCAGTGGGAGGTTAGGGAGCAGCATTCACGTCAGCAGGAGGCACAGAGTGGCAGACTCAACAAACTCAATTCCAGGCTGATGATAGCCAGAAACCAGCCTGAACTTCAGTGGCACTACAGGTGCAGGCTTGCTGACATTATCTACTACCCCACCATAAATCAACAGCTGGCTTGCTGTGATTAAACTCGGATCTGGACTCTGTCTGCCCACATTGTCTACCAGTGACAGCAGAGACATACCTTGAATTAGACGGGGTTTTTTTTTTTTTATTTTCTTCTTTTTTTTCCCTTTTCTGGTTTTTGTTTTTGTTCTGTTATGTTGATTGTTCTTGTTTTTATAAATGGGAACACAGTTTCTAGTATTTTTTGTTGTGGTTGTTCTGTTCTTGTTTTTATTTCTTCCTTCCCTCTCTCCCTCCTGTCTTTACCGTTTCCCAAAGTTTGTATGAGCTTTTGTTCTCCAGCTGTACTTCTAAATTCATCTTCTATTTCTCTATTTTTCCCCCCAATCCCTTCTAAATATTCTCCCTTTAGCATAAAATTGCCATAGTGAGGGCTTATTTATTGCATACAGTTTCCTGGTTTGTTCTAGATTTTGTTATATAACCACAAATCTAGTTCAGATGGTTAAAGGTGGAAAATTAATAGTTATCACAGTTTTATGTGTAATAGTTACACATTTTCTAGGCTGTGTTTGATGCTAGTGTTATTGCTGACTGCACTACTTTAGCCAAGGTAACATAATTGTTCTAATCAATTGTTCTTCCTGGTGTACCAAGACTGCATTTGCCTAAGGATCTTAAAGAATTCTATAGGCCAGTGCCAAAGAACCAGGTGCTGAGCCAAGTAGCCAGAAACTTCTCATCTCCAATAAACTGAAGATACAGGATCTTGCAACAGACTCAAAAGCCAAAAGCCAGCTACACCTGGAAGATACCTCTGAGATGTTATTTCTTAAGGGTTCTGAATACTGGCAATAAAGATACTAATCATAAGCAATCTACTAGCATCAATCCAGGAATTAAACTTAAAAAACCATAATAGTAGAAAATGAGAAGGCACTTAAACAAGATGCAACCCTCCAGACTTTCAGCTCACCAACAGCAAACCCAGGGGGCAATGAAGCGAAACAATCTGAAAGCCACCCACTTGCACTCTCTGAAATGGTAACAGTGGAAGTAACAAAGCATCTGAACAAGGCTCTAGAAAAATTCAAAGTAGAAATAATTTCTCAGGTAACTACAGAGATGGTGACGAGAATGAAAGA